GCTGCACACATCTGAATATTTGGGTTGAAGTGTTCTGGAACAGTGTTGTAAATACAACTTAACCACTGATTTCTAGTCCTGTCCTCTTTTGGAAGACCAAACAAAGTAGTTTCGCTTTCGCCAGACGCCACAAGAAAACAACAAACTGTGCTAATATACACCCACGATGTCATGTAATACTGAAAAATTATAATCCAAACCTTTATCTCCATACTGAAATCCCAGATAGTCTGACAGTGATTCAGCTCAAACACTGTGAGCACGGAGACTGTAGTGTGCACAGCACATGTTTAAATGCTTAGCTTAAATATCTAATATTAATTAAATAGTGCTCATAAATGGCTGTTGAGACAGTATTCTCAAGTGAGATGGGTAGAGGCTTGGACCCGGAAACAGCAGTCCTTGCATCAAGACTTAACAAGAGGATTCTCCCCAAGCGTCATCAGAGCCAGAACACCATTCAGAGCAGAAGCCAATTTTCAGTTTTTGATTAAAGATTACAACGGCAGACAGTTTTTTCAGTGTATTGCACGGTTCAATTGTTCACCACAAGACTAGTAATGTGCACTAACACATAAGTAGGGTTATTTTTGATTTCATGACGTATCATTTTCAATACCATTGGCAAAACTAACACATACTGTATACTGCCATATAGATATTTTAATATTACATTTTTTTTTGTCCATCCATTTTTTCAAGGCAATCATTATTTCAAGCTTTGAAAGTCTTCTAAAAAGACACATTTGCTTTATATGATGAACAGATTATAATATAGGCTTTTATTTACATATAAATATTGATCAATTACCATTACAAAAATCTCCATCTTAAACATTTGCTCATTCTGTGTATTTGTGTCTTTAAAATAGGGTAACTTTGTTGCAAAAGCTTCCAGCACAAGGAAGCTTGATTTCAAACTGAACTGAATTTACAAAAAAAAGACAAGTACACAGTCAGTAATAAAATTATAAAACATATGACCTCAGTCCAGTTGTATTCGAAAATATAACACTGAATTTTTATAGGCAGTGATTTAAGAACAATATACAGTATGTTAGGCCTATATATTTAGATAAATGTACCATCAGATGGCTTTGACCCTAATGTCTGTAACAATAGTGATGCAAACTAGGATAGTTAGATGTACAAATCAGACAAATATCCCATTCAGAAGCATTTCTAGCATAAACTTGCATTGTAAAGAAATTAAAGTTCCATCTTTGATTGTTGAAAGACTTTCTGGTGCATTTCACTTACAGCCATTACAATTTCCAGTAGGGTTTTCATCGGTCAGGCGTGGATCTATTCTATAACTTTTGACACAGTTTAATCCAGGAGCAAAGAGAAATCATTTCTACTTTAAAAGCACGGAGAGATCGCGATTGCACACAGTCTGCGCACAAGCCATGTCGCAGTGAGAGGACAGGCAGCTCATGTGTAAAAGTTAGGCCTATTTGAGAGCTCGCGTTCAGTTTTCTGCGATTACATGGCTGTGTTCTCATGTCACAATAAAGCGCTCAGGAGGCGATGTGTGTCAAACCCGCTGTCGGAGAGGAAAGAGAGATGCAGCTTGGAAAAGTGGCGGGCCCAGTGCTGCCAACTGCTTTCAGTTGAAAGTAGCCCAAACTAGTAGCTAAATGTCACTAGATGACATCACAATGGCAAATTCACTGATCTATATGAAGATGAACGTAGATCAGCGGGCAAGATGAGAACTTAGATGAGGTTTGTCCAAGAAGTTGCTATATTTGTCCCTAAACGTTTGAAAAAAGTCTCAAAAGGGGCAGGGAAGTCGCTAAATCTAGCTACAAAGTAGATAAATTGGCAACACTGGCGGCGGCTTTTCCCGCTTCAGATATCAGGGCTTCTATTGGTCTGTTTACGGTCGGATATCGGCTTCTGAAGGCCGTCAAAGGTTTGAATATCAATTCAAATTGTGGGCGTACTCAGTAACGAACTATGATTTAAAAGTAGATTATTTTGCTTAATTTGTACTTAAGTACAAGTAAAAGTACAGCTTTAAAAATATACTCAAAAAAGTACAAGTACCCGAAAAACTACTTAATTACAGTAACGCCAGTAGTTGTAAATCCTTCCCTCCACCACATGCTGCTTTAGTGGCGGTGTTCAATAAACATTTTTTTGTCAACACACTTGTTTCATTTCTATAGGTTTGTAACATACAAGTTGCTTCAGAGGCATAAGGTATTGCACGTATTACACACAAAAATGAAAAGGAAATTTACATTTGGTACTTAAGTCCTTTTAAAAGCAAGAACTTCTGTACTTTGACTTAAGTAACAATCTGTCCTTACAACGTTCCCTCTATGGAGTAATATAAGTAATGGAGCTGAGCACTGTGTCCAGCTCTGCTGTTAACACCCTTCATGATATTTCCACACAAATGGCAGACTGGCTGAAATAAAGCTAAATGGTCAACTGACGATTGTGTGTCTTGAGCAAAAACTGGCCTGTTATTGTGGATTGTTGCTCTTGATGTAATAATAATTATTAATGTTGATTAATAAAATACATTAGAAAATGTTTCTGAGTCCGGGGAAAAGGCACATCATGTTCTTGTAAGCTACACAGACAAAACAAGGTGAGAACAGTTTCTCAACAGAAACGAGTGTGATTAGTTTCAGGTGATATAATACAAAGAATAGTGTTATAAATGTAGATACATTTTTTAAAAATACAAATATGAAAAGCTTTCGAGGATTTACGAAGCTGATGACCGTTAAACGCCTCATCACAGTCTTGTGAAGAGGCTCCATATCGGGCTGCAAACTAGACAGCACATTACCGCCACCTCCCGGGACCTGAATCAGAGAAATGAATGCATCATATCCTCTCATCATCAAATCCTCTTAAAGGTGACCGATCATGAAAATCTGACTTCTCCAGGTTGTAAGTGCTATAATCATGTCTCCGGTGCATCTACCAACCAAGGAAACATGATAAAGATGAACCCAGTAACTTTGTTTTGGGAAGCCTTTTTCTGCAAGCGAACCAGCACGTCTGATTTCACTCCCTCTGTGACGAGGCAAAGGGATCTCATTATAATATCACCGCCCCTTAATCTGTAAATTTCCACCCACGGCGCCGTTATTGTGTTTTCACAAGCGACAACGGTGTAGCAGCTCTAATGCCATGATGAAAGTTTGAGCGAAGCATGCTAACTGTTCAGTGTTTGGCTGCAGAGACGAGCACTGAACACTGTTTAGAGTCCCAGCCTCAGAGACGACAGAGCAGTGCATTTATTGATGTATTTACTGTATATTGCTGCTGCCACACAGATCTAAAATAAACAAGTGATTTATTTCCCAGCTGTTTACCTTCACAGACATAACCCACTGTTTTTATAACTCGTGGGTTTTTAAGGTAAACGTGTGTGTGAATGAGAACTTAGTTTAGTGCTCGCATGCTGTGACAGCCGCTTTCTGTGCGTGTGTTTCCGATGTGTGCGCTCAGAAACCGTATATCAGAAGTTTAAACTCATATGGTTTAAAACACATGATTTCAGCTGATAAACATGATCATCAGAACCAAAACAGATGTTCTTAGCAGGTCCGAGCTGTAATAGCGCAGCTCTATTCTGGAAAAGGGGGCGGGGAGCAGCAGCTCATTTGCATTTAAAGAGACAGACCCGAAAAACAGCATGTTTCTGCTTCCACTCAAAATAGGCATTTTCAAAATGATATAATAAATTATCTGTGGCGTATTTGGAGCTGAAACTTCACAGACACATTCTGGGGACACCTGAGACTTATATTACATATTGTGAAAAGGGGCATAATATGTGTCCTTTCTAACAACTGCAGATACATCTTCTGGTGTGTTCACTCGCATCCCATTCCAGTATATCCTTTATTCCTGTCCCTGTTAATCCCACTTTTCCTAATTCTCCCATCACGTTTTCCTCTGCTCTGCATATTGCTTGTGAACAATAAGCACGTTTCTAAACAATATTCAAACCAAAAAAAAAAACTTGGTTGGGTGCTTTTCTATAATGTATAGTGAACTATTCTTAATGTGGTTATAACTATTTCTTCTTTTCTATTCCCTCCTCTGTTCTTACAGCACTAACTTTAAATGCCTCCATTTAATCTCTCTATCCCACTGCCATTGCCATTCGGCTTTCCCTAATATTTACTTCTATTTGTTTTCTTCATTGTCTTTGGTGTTTTACAGTAGTTGGCATCCAAAATGTTGCATTGCTGCCATCTGCTGTCTAATTTTAACATCACTTGTTAATCAATTTCGTCCCTGCAGCCCCAGCACTCCTTAGGAAATTAATCAAATGTTTCCTTCCTTGCTCATCGTTCCCACATTCTACCATATTTATTTTACTTTATACTTTATTATACCTATTTCCCGTAGCTGATTCTTCAGCTCTTGCCTTTCTTGTGTAAATGTCCTGTGTGAGACGTACTACAGCAGTGTTGGGAGAAGGAGAGCAGAAAGAATGTAAGTTCAATCATCTAAATCAGAGGGTCTAGTGCAGGGGTGCCCAAACTCGGTCCTGGAGGGCCAATTCAAACACACAGATGACGTTCCTGCAGCGAACACTGAGATCAACAACACTGTGACAAAAAAACTCAGATTCAGGAATTTTTACTATACTAATACAGTATGCCTACATTAAATTACAGATACAGATGTATAATTCAGCAATGAACTTCTGGGAAAACAATCATTTTCATTTCACTACTGTAAAGTCATCTTGCAGTAGATGAAAAGCACTAGAAAAGCTCACATACCAAAGAATTGTATGAACTTGGCTTGCACCACAAAAAAGTACAGTAAAAAATTACATTAAAAAAGCTAATTTGGCCAAATGTCATTCCAGTATACAGCACTACAGCAGTTTCTTGCTCTCCTGACACAAGACTATATCTCTAGCCAGTCATTCTCAGTTCTGCTAAAATACAGTACACATAAAAAATGGTTAGAAATCAAATTTGACACGCTTGAAGGTGTGCTACAGTTCACTGTACATATATATAGTGGAATGCCCCTGATCTAATGCACTGGTACTGTACTGTACTGTATGTGTAAGTATAAAGCCCTGTAGATGACTGGCTCAGCTCCAGCTCTCTCCGTTGTTAGCACGCACAGATTCTGATTGTGTCTCATCAGTTTTGCTATCTAATGTGTAACTTACTCACTGTTAAACTTTTGAAGAAATGTGTCTTTGTTTTGAAAACTGAATTAATGGTTTGGGGAAAAAAGTGGCAACTAAAATCAGTTATATTAACACTCGAGAAAACTGCAATACGACTAGATTCTTACCCAACTCTGCTATTAGTCTCTGTGATCGGCATCTTATTGCTCTCATGTTATTGTCAGGGCTTATATTCATGATGAAAGAGGTGCGAGCAAACAATTAGACATTCTCAGAGGACTTCTGAGAAATCAAATTTGACACGCTTGAAGGTGTGCTACAGTTCACTGTACATATATATAGTGGAATGCCCCTGATCTAATGCACTGGTACTGTACTGTACTGTATGTGTAAGTATAAAGCCCTGTAGATGACTGGCTCAGCTCCAGCTCTCTCCGTTGTTAGCACGCACAGATTCTGATTGTGTCTCATCAGTTTTGCTATCTAATGTGTAACTTACTCACTGTTAAACTTTTGAAGAAATGTGTCTTTGTTTTGAAAACTGAATTAATGGTTTGGGGAAAAAAGTGGCAACTAAAATCAGTTATATTAACACTCGAGAAAACTGCAATACGACTGCAATTCTTACCCAACTCTGCTATTAGTCTCTGTGATCGGCATCTTATTGCTCTCATGTTATTGTCAGGGCTTATATTCATGATGAAAGAGGTGCGAGCAAACAATTAGACATTCTCAGAGGACTTCTGATTTAGCTGAACAGCAGTAATTATCTGATTCACGAACTAATGTAAAAACAATTGGTTAATGCACTGAGCCGCTTTGTGGTTTTGACTCAAAAGATCCGGTTCAGAAGTCATTTGTTAATGAAGCCGACCTCACTGGCGCCTGCGTGCGCCTGCAACCATCGTGCCGTTTAAAACACCTGTTTTTGCCATTATGTTTGCGTTACTCTGTCATCGCCGCGGCTGAAAAGTAGCACATGAAACTCTGCTTGCATTTCTTTTATTCTGTGATCATTCTGGGGTGGCAGTTGGTAGACCCGCCCCTGCTACTAGGGCTGTGGTTAAAGCTTTAATGCAATTCATTTCTATTTTTGGTATACCTAAGATTGTTCAGAGCTTGATCACTTTCATTTAGCATTAACACCCCTTATATATGTATATATGTATATATATACATACTCAGACCAACACAAAATACTGACCGTTCTTAAAGCTACTTTTTCTAAATCATGAAGAAAAGTTTTAAATGCATTTTCAACATTTTATTCCATCAAGTCACATTATATGCATCTATATAACATCCAATTTACATTTCAATAACAACTTCTCAACTCTCCTTAAAAAAAACATGATGGCAAAAACATCCCACATAAGGGATAACGTTTATAGGAGTGAACCTTACATTTTCAGAATATCAAAGCCAAAATGTTGCCTTATTTTGAGAAGCAAATATGCTTGAAGCATTTCTACCATTTTACCAATCAGCGAAGTAACATTTCAAGCTAGTGATTTTATAGCTGTGCTTTTTGGCACACAAACATAAAGTACCCTCATGGTATTTAATTGAAAAAAAGGAAATTTTCTTTGCTACCATTTCTTGATGTAATGCAGAATATTTACATGAATGCTTATTCTTCTATAAAGATTTTCTAGAGTGTTACCAACACAACTGCATTTTAAGCATCACATTACATTATCTAGACCTACACACAAAGTATTAGAGTAAACAGGGCCAAGATGAAGCATTCAGGTACATAAAATAAAAAACAAAAAAACAAGTGCATAAAAAAATTCCCTTTAACGACAGGTGTGTCAATGGGACATGACAATGGGACAAAAAAACGAATGAAAAATGGAGCTGTCCGGCCCTATTAGTGTATTACATTCAGTATGTAAATTAACTGGAATAATCAAAGAACATATTTATGATTTCGACACATTCTTAAAAGTTAAAAGACATGGTAATATGTTACAATATGTATTTGAAAGAAAAAAAAATCTACATACAGCAAGACATTCTTTGTTGCAAAGCATTTTAGATACATTTCCAAGGAATTTTCCCCCCAAATACAGAACGTCTAAATATTTGCAGATAATCAGTAGACTTCAATATATAATTTAAAAGAGGGATAAAAAAGAAAAAACCTTTTCAGTGACACCAGTACTGCACAGGAACAAACGCAGAGCACCCTCGAGAGAAGCAGCGTATGCCACATGCTTTGTTAAACACGCTGCTGATGTTACGTTTGTGTTTGATCATGAACAAAAATGATCCTCTCTCATCCAGATAAAGACATCCAACATATCAAAACACACGCACAAAAATGTAAAAGAAATAAAGTGCTCATTTAAAGCGAGGCTTTCTTAATGAGCAAATCCGCTTTGGAAGACTAGGATATGTTAATGCTATTTTACAAATGAATAAAATAGTCTAATTAAATTCACAAACTGACAGAGTGGGTAAAAGTACAGTAATGTGTAATATCAGTTCATTTTGAATGAAAATCAATATCAAATCTAATGGAAGAAAAGAAAAGGCTTTGTGACTTGCAGTAAGCAAGGCAAGTCGAATATATGTGGAACTGCACCTTTTTTCATAAAGTCAAAGTCAGTGGAGCCAAAAACAGACTTCTGGAATGCATGCAGGTTTGGAACATGCCAGTGGCAGTGTGTTTTTAGGGTAAACCGCACACAGATGTTGCTAACTCTGGGTTTGCTACTGATTTCAGTCACGGTTCGGCATCTATGCTGAGTTTGGGGAAGAGTGATCAATTCTTCAGAAGAGAAGAAAAGCAGTCGAAGCTAGCACAGTGCGTCACAATGCAAAGCCAGAGGAGGAAGAACAAATAAAAAAAAGCACATTGCATAGTATATAAGCTCATTTTAGTGTTTTTTGATAGCATGCGTAATGTTTAGTGTCATTAGAGAGTGTAGTCCACATAACATCGATTACACTGAAAATCCAATCTAGCTAAATCCCATTCAAACCCAGTAGTGCTAAATCACCTCTACAGTACATCTGCGAATGTAAGCACACACAGAAAAAGCGAATGAAGATGTAATGTGTAACGATGGAATATCTGGCAATGTAACTTGTGTGTCCTCTGGTTCTTATTGCACGCTGACCGCAGGAGGACAGTTGAAGTGTTGTGACGGACCCTCTAATTTTAGGCCCATACAAACACACACAGGACAAACACATATCTGCAGTGAGCGCTGCGGAAGAAGTGTTTTCCTTTTTAGGGTGTCTGGGATCCAGACCTCTTGAAGCTACCCAGCAGACTCTGAACACCCTTCTTCACACTGGATCCGACCCTGCGGGCGACGGAGTCAGCAGGCGGGCCGGGCAGACAAGAGCTGCCACTGCTGGGGGGCCGAGCGTCCAGGCACTTCTGATACCTCAGCTGTGAATGATTGAAATGTTTTACATTTGGGAGAGAGACTTCCTGAAGAGAAGTCATTCATTTCTGACCCCTCTGCTGCAGCTCTCTCTCTTTAAAAAAAAAAAAGGTTAAAGTAATGCTACACTGTTGGTTGTTTGTTCCTCTCCACTGTACTATATACTAAAGGCAAAAAACACCAATAATAAATATATATAAGTGAGCAACACTAACCATGAACTCCCCAATCTCTTCCACATGTGCAGTGAAGAATGAACTTAACTTGCAGTAAATCAACCACGTTCTAGACATGTCGTTACTCACCATACACGCGGCCTGTACGGCCTCACTTAGACTTGCAGCGTTTGGATCACACCAGAACATGTGACAGATAAAGTCTCCAGGTCGCTCTGCCATTATGAACGCAAACGTGTGCACATCCTTCCCGACTCCCATAAATGACAGGAAACGCACACGACATTCAGAAAGAACTTCCTCCGTCTGTGACAATGAGACAAGAAATATCAGTGTGGTTATCTAATCAGATTTTTAGGATACAGCATTATGTATTATATAATACTCAAGTACTGCAGAAGGTCAACAAACAGAAACCTGACCTCAGAAGTCAGAATAGAGAGTGTAGCGGACGCCACGTTCACAGTCACAGGTGTCCAATTGTCTTTGCTGTTAAGAGCATTCTCCAATGCTACATTAATCACATCCACGCCTTCAAGAGACAGATACAGACACGACTTCAATTTCAGGCAGCTAACTTTGATTTAAACATGAAAATAAATAGATGCTATTTTGAGTGCTTACAGGTTATGACATAGCTACACAAAAACGGGGGAAATGCAGGTAAAGCGTGCACTTTGTATGTAAGGGATAATGTACGTTATCACAGAATAATTCAGCGATGACAACCAGCTGGATGTACACGGCTGCTTACCACACAAGTAAATGATTAGACACGAAATATTGATTTGAGTTGAAATATTCGAACACAAAGATTCTGTGAAGACAGCAGTTGCGAGCAAGCAGCAAGCTCAAACTAGACGGACATTTAAGGGATGCGGTGCAGTCAAACCTCTTCTTACACAACATTTCACCACATAAATAATTATGGCGATAAAAGATATTGATTTAAGATGAAAATGTTTTAAAATCTTACCAGTAGTTGTCTAATAATCCATTACAGTGTACAACACAACTGTCGCAAAATGGCAGCAGCTGTATTTGTATGAAACGAGAGAGCGAGTCCGCGATACCAGGATGACATAATTAAATAACTGCAGGAGTACAGTGCTGACTGCAGTTACCCGGATGAGCCTGTGTTATCAGCTTTTACCGGTTGTTATCGAGGGATAACAGACCTCAGAATGTTGCGACTGACCAATCAGAATCAAGTATTCCACAGAGCCGTGTAATCAATAAGAGTATAATAGCAGTTAATGAACTGAGGACTTCCTACCAGCTGGCTTTGTCACCGGCACACGACCCAAGTACCGCACCTGGAAGCGCTGGACCAGCTCGTTCTTGGGAGCTGGGAACTCTGAAGGAAGAAAGATCTGATTCAGTCATAATGGTATCACTTCATTATTATCCATTACAGTACTCACTTGAGAAGGAGGGAGAAATATCTGATGCACACGTGTAGTCAAACCCAACACTTTCAACAGTTACATGCTGCACTGCAGACCGTCCACAAACAAAAGCTAAATTCAGCACATGTCATACGTTACCCTGGAAAGGGATGTCCCTAAGTCTTGAGGGGTCGGTGTTCTGTCTGCTGGACGACTTCCTTTGGGCCATTATCTGAGGAAATACACAGACAAAACTAAATATATAACAAAAAACACATGGACATAATTGCATCGCAGTTGTGTGTAAGATGCTCGCACTGCGGCCTCTATCTGGCTACCTGGTTGATCCAAACTGATCTAAAAGAGTAAGACACAAAGTGACTGAAACATCTGCTAGATGTCTGTCATCACTGCAGCTGGCTCAGATCTGAAGCACATGAGAACCCCAAGCTATTATTAACGTCTGTTAATGGCAAACCACTGAACAGTGCACTTGAGTCGATCACGATTCTGATTTAGCCAGCTAGTGAAGTTAGTCAAGATTAGTGAGTGATTTTCTATTTTTCTTGATTAACATTGTAGACACAGCAGCAGGAATATTAGTCTGCTGTCACTTTAAGAGATGCACGGACCAATTTATTAATACACATGCATTTCCTTTCTCAGATGTTTGCGTTCATTTCAGTCATAAACCAAGACGGGCATTTTAACATAATAGTGTGTGTATTTGACAGCTGAAGCACAGTAAGTGCTGAAAGAGATCTGAATTCACAGCCGCATGCTGTCTGTGAGAGAGAGGGCTTCCGTGGACGTGTTTCAGGTGTCTGATAACGCGCGAGTTCTTTTTGAGGTTTATTGCACTTAACTCTTTTTAACATATTTATCTTTTTTTTAATTTCTCATTCATGCAAGTTTCTTATGCTTAAGTTTCTAAGTGTCAAGTTCAAAGTTAAGATTGCATACTTTGAGCTGCTTAAACGAGAATGTCTCTTGTGATAATCTGATTATCTAGTTACTTGTTGGATTTTGGTTAGATTCGTTTTCTCTTTGTTAGACTAGGTTTGGAGTGTTTCGCCACCCTTGTTTTTAGTTTTTAGTTTAGGGTAGTTTAGTTTATGGTGTTGCATACGCAGAAGATTTCGGTTTTATTTTCATATTTTTCTTTTGTTAGTCAGTTTGGAAGGTAGTTATAAAAACTTTTGTTTTGTTAATGACTGAAACATCTGCTAGATGTCTGTCATCACTGCAGCTGGCTCAGATCTGAAGCACATGAGAACCCCAAGCTATTATTAACGTCTGTTAATGGCAAACCACTGAACAGTGCACTTGAGTCGATCACGATTCTGATTTAGCCAGCTAGTGAAGTTAGTCAAGATTAGTGAGTGATTTTCTATTTTTCTTGATTAACATTGTAGACACAGCAGCAGGAATATTAGTCTGCTGTCACTTTAAGAGATGCACGGACCAATTTATTAATACACATGCATTTCCTTTCTCAGATGTTTGCGTTCATTTCAGTCATAAACCAAGACGGGCATTTTAACATAATAGTGTGTGTATTTGACAGCTGGAGCACAGTAAGTGCTGAAAGAGATCTGAATTCACAGCCGCATGCTGTCTGTGAGAGAGAGGGCTTCCGTGGACGTGTTTCAGGTGTCTTTTTGAGGTTTATTGCACTTAACTCTTTTTCTCATTCATGCAAGTTTTTTATGCTTAAGTTTCTAAGTGTCAAGTTCAAAGTTAAGATTGCATACTTTGAGCTGCTTAAACGAGAATGTCTCTTGTGATAATCTGATTATCTAGTTACTTGTTGGATTTTGGTTAGATTCGTTTTCTCTTTGTTAGACTAGGTTTGGAGTGTTTCGCCACCCTTGTTTTTAGTTTTTAGTTTAGGGTAGTTTAGTTTATGGTGTTGCATACGCAGAAGATTTCGGTTTTATTTTCATATTTTTCTTTTGTTAGTCAGTTTGGAAGGTAGTTATAAAAACTTTTGTTTGGTTAATTTCTTTGATTTGGGTGACGCTCCTATTTTTTTTTTATTTTGCTTAATTTCATATTTCTTTGCATTTGATATTGATATGTACTCTTTCACACAATGTGTTAATTAAAGTATTTTGAAACGTACTCCTTTTCAGTGTCATCTTTGATCTGTTCCACACCCAGTAACAATTGTCTCACTTAAATGTTACAGTATCATCCCTTTTTAACATCAAGCACGTAACACTCCTAAATTGTCGATAACTTTAAGCAGTGCAGCAGATATATAAAGTTTGGCACGGCCAGGGTGCATGCAGGGAGCTGAAGCAGAGCTGAACACACTGTCCTGCTGCCGCACGTCGACGCAACTCAGGTAATATGGCTCTTATTAAAACGCTGTCATTCTTAAAGTACCGGTACTAGTAAAATGAGGAATCGTACCATTTTTAAAAGCGAGGTATCACAATACCTTTTTAGTATTGGACTCTTTTCTCAGGTTTGGCTGCAGTATACTGCATAGATGCAAAAGAGATGAATTGGCCATATGCCTAAACAAAGATTATTGACAATGAAATCAAAGAAAGTGTTAAACTTGCACTAATACTACTGGTGCTCATAACAGACTAGTAAGAAAAACTACTAAGTGACTGTTTATCGGTTACATTTATTTTCACATTTAACTACTTGATGACTAATTAACTCACATTAACTCACTCAACTCCCGATGCAATGATTCACGATACTGATTTTACAATACGATTCTCACAATATTTTTATTTTTTTTACAAAATGACATTTAAGACAAATTATAAATGAAAAGGCATGCTTTTATGATTTCTCAGATAAAATGCTGTACTTTTTTGTGTGAAACAGAAATGTCAAAAAACAAAACTAAATTGAATTTTAAAAATTTAAAAATAAATCCCCCCCCCAAAAAAATACAAAAAAAACTTTTCATAGAAACAAACTAAGACTTTGTCATGCTCTTTCCATTTAAAATTAGAGGCCACCATTGCATTTTAATAACGATCCAAACAAAGATGCTAGATACTAGGCTTGCTGCGATAGTCGGTGTTAACCCGCAACACCGGTTACGTCACTTGCGCACCACGGCACCGCCCCCACAGTCTTTTTGATTTTTTTATAGTAATACAAATTATTTGTATTTAGTTGGAGAACAGACACTACAATTAAAAACTGAACGTTGCTCAATGCAGCGTGCTGGACGACAGTCGCATCACAGATCAGCAGCAGGAGTCAGATTTCATTTATCACGTCTGGAGAGTTGACCGACAAGAAGAGTGAGGTGAGACAGACAAGACGATGGCGGAGGATTTAGTTTAGAAACGAAATGCAAAAGCGCCTTTTTGGCAATATTTTACTTTATTTAAACTTTAATATTTCACTTTATTTAAACTTTGTGTAATTTAACAAAAGTTCTATGCTTAATATAAGTGATTTTGTCGTTGTACTGTCAATTCAAGCAATAGACGCTGAATTGCCGCTAATTAGAAAGTGAAAGTAAAATGCGCACGTGCAACAAAAGTTCTATGCTTAATATAAGTGATTTTGTCGTTGTACTGTCTTGTTGTTGTCAATTCAAGCAATAGACGCTGAATTGCCGCTAATTAGAAAGTGAAAGTAAAATGCGCACGTGTATTTACAAGCTATTTAAAGCGAAGGAAAGCTAGGAAAAGAGGGAAAACCCCAACAAACCCCACCCCCGGTGATACCGGTGTTGTCACGCGTCGATTAACCGGTGGGAAAATTTCCTCACCGTCACAACCCTACTGCACACATACAGCATGAGCAGTTTTTGATTAAATTAGATTGTATAACTTTGAAATTTGAAGCAAACTATATATTTGAAGCTTTCAGAAACTATACTACCATAAAACGCATCTAAACGAAACAAAGACAGCAGATGGGCTGAATGAGAATGCAGATTCACTCTCTGACAGCAGGTGGCGCTTACAGAACCGCAGCAATATAGCATTTCTTTGGTATATCGCTGTAAAGCAGTGCTGCACTTATAAACACTACTTTTTCTTGCTGAATGAAGAACCATCATCTTCAACTCGACCTTACCAAGGACTTAACAGAACTGCTTGTGGTTCCAGCCAACCCAACACTTCATCACAATTTCACCATCCAGTTAGGCACATCAACTATAACTCCTTCAAAGACAGCCAGTAACCTTGGAGTTATGATTGATGATCAGCTGACTTTCTCAGACCACATTGCTAAAACTGCCCGGTCCTGCAGATTTGCTTTATACAACATTAAGAAGATCAGGCCCTTTCTATCAGAACATGCAACACAACCCCTTGTTCAAGCTCTTGTTCTGTCCAGGCTGGACTATTGCAATGCTCTCTTGGCAGGTCTTCCAGCCACTTCTATCAAACCTCTACAATTAATGCAGAATGCAGCTGCAAAATAATAATAATAATAAAAAAAACACTTGACCCTCTAACACTTGCACTCTCTATTGGGTCATTCCATGTCAGCTCAATCAGAGGTCCCCAGCTTTCTAAAGAAAGATAAATATGTATAATGTGTTACGTTCCATGGTTATTTATATAATATTGTTGGATTCTGCGTGCTGTGGTGTGCTTTTTGCTCTCTCTCGATGTTGTTCAGTGTGTTACCTGCTGCTCAACCAGGTGAAGAGGAGAGGGAGGTGATCGCTCGCACCTGCAGCTTGTTACTGTGCAGAGGCTGCAAACTCAAATGTTGTTCAACATGCCTGCCACATTGAAGCTCGTCTTCCAGAGTGTTGTTCCTCTTGCCTGCTCTGTGTTGCTTTGTTTGTTGTATCAGAGATTGGTCTTGTGTAACCCTATTCAAGTTACGCCTTCTGAACAGGCCATTAGCGTTGTTGCTGTGCTACGTGACCCTTTGTGTTGGAAGCTGTAGGGAGGTGGGTGCCATTTTATTTCCGTGAATCTTTTTCTCCTGTTTTTGCTTAGTTAGGGAGTTAGTGTACATTTCTGTTGTTAATTTTCTTTTTTGTCAGTTTAGACAGTTTTACTCCCTAACTAGTTAGAGGGTCCTTTTGTTTGTTGTTTTGGCCTTTCCCCTTCCTGAAGTCTATTTTTACTTCCTATTTTCATTTTGTCAATTGTACTTTTGTTAATAAATTACTTGAACTTGGAATTTAACGTGTCTTGGCCTTTCCCCTTCCTGAAGTCTATTTTTACTTCCTATTTTCATTTTGTCAATTGTACTTTTGTTAATAAATTACTTGAACTTGGAATTTAACGTGTCTGTCGTGTGGGGCAGGGGACTGGCACACACTCACCCCAACCAATTATATGTTTACTTTTCCCTGTTACTCCCTTCTCTGTTAAGACCCTTACATCTGGGACATAATAAATGATGAAAGCCAAAATATTAAATGTAATGAATTAATTTACTGAATAATCCGCTATTTTATAGAGGGGTTTCGAAATGGAAATTTTCACCGGAGATTCAGAACCAAATTACAGGGGGGTAAAAATTACTTCAGAAAGATGGCAGCATCATTGTTATTTTTACACATTGATTGGTAGGTCTATTAGTAAAATCTGTTAACTTTAGTAATCTTGCATTATGTGCCAATGGTGACCATTCAAAAATGCGGAAACTTTTTTTCCCCCCAAAGTTTGCAGGCCTGCAACTCAAACATTATTAATATGTAGGGCCTTGAAAATGAAGATTCCAAAAGTAAAGTTTATTAATTACTTGAATCTAAAATCATGTTGCAATATCTTTAATACTTATTGAGTTATAGGTATGCAAACTTCGGAAAAATAATACTTATGGCACTCAGGTATGTTCAATGCAGTTGTTTTGACAGAAGGAAACAAGATACATTTCTAGTTTCAACATTATTTGTTCTTTAGACATTCCTCTTTAAAAGAAAAATAGTAGCATATTTTTGAAGTGGCCCATATTTGGTTTTTGACCACTGAAAATGTGTACAATTGAACTATTTGCTCCTGGATACGCTGAAATTCCAAGATACCAAAAGGGACGTTTAAGACCGAATATCTAAAAGGACATTAAGATATATTTAATACTTTTTGAGTTACAGGCCTTTGAAGAAAAAACTTGAAAAGTGCTCTTTCCCCATTTTTGAATGGTCACCATTGGCACATAATGCAACAAAGATTGCTAAAGTCAACAGATTTTACTAACAGACCTACCAATCTCTGTGTAAAAATAACATAAGGATGCTGCCATCTTCCTGAAGTCATTTTTAACCCCCTGTAATTTGTCTTTGAATCTCCGGAGAAAATTGCCATTTCGACCCTCCTCAACGAAATAGTGGATTACTCAGTAAATATTCATCCATGACATTTAATATTTTGTCTTTCATCACCATATGTGTTTCTCACTTCAGAAAAAATATTAGCAAAATCAAAAATTTGAGCCGGAGACCTCAGGTTGAGTTGACACAGAATGACCCTATTCTACTTCTATTCTAAGTGGAGGGTTAATAAATAACAGAATTTTCATTTTTGAGTAAACTATCCCCTTTAAACACCCGAAACGTTGCCGTTTCAATAAATCCAGGATATTTTGGATGCCACAGCAGAGTGCACAAGGTCTTCGAGATTGAATCAAGAATATGAGAATTTTTAGCCAGCAGCTAAGATGTCCTCACCTTAGAGCAGATGTCATGGAGGCTAGTGGCGATGTTCTTTGCAGGGGTGTCAGACCGAAATACATGACACTTGAGCATGTGAGTCAACTTGTCTCGTGCCACATATGCAAAGTCCCTGTAGTAAGAGATAAACATATGCATGTTGTCATATCACTTCAATTCATCCACACACCCATAAACTTGTGCATGCACAGCAATAAACGTCTTGGATGTGTGTGAAACCTTAGTTCCCCGAGTAGGGAACGAGATCACTGAGGCGTTTCTTCTCTGATGCCTCTTAAGGACGTGGACTCTACATCATTGACTGATTTCCTATGAAGGAAACCTTTCAAAGGTATACTTTGACACTGCATCAGTAGCTGACGCTATGCCATCACACAGATATCTTCCACCGATACTCCTCAGGTCAAAGCTTGTGAAGAAGTAGCACTTTGTAGAGTGTGCACAAAAGCTTAAACCAAGCATCTGGAGTTTGATATAACATTCCTCCACCAAAGCAAAATCCTCTGTTTTGTAGCTACAAAACCTTTGCTACATCCACCGAAGAGGGCAAACAGCTGATCAGATTTCTGCCATTGAATTGATATAAATCCTCAAAGCTCTAACAGGACAAATGGAACCTTTCTTTCTCTTGCAACTCAAAGGAAGAAAGGGAAAGGCTGCAAAACAATAGTCTATGAGTGAAGCAAAGCGCTTTGCGATTAATGAAGCTGCCTCCAAAGGGATGCATTTCCAACAAATACATCTGGAATGGCCCTTAGCAGGACCTGGTCAAGAAGCCTTATGCTGAGTACAAACTACACAGTGAAGTCAGGAACAGACTTAATTGTGTAGTGTATACCCAGCATACAGCTTCTGATTGCTGTTCCAAGAGATCGGCAACTGGGTTGGTGGAGGGGATTCACACGTTACACATTTCGCTTTGCCTAGCATCACGCTCTCTCTTTGGCTGTAGGTTGCCACTGATGTCATTAACTGTCAAAAAAAAATTTCACACAGCAAGTCACCAACAAGTTCAGATATTCCTCGGGCATCGGTGATGTATCAGCACTTCTCTCAGATCGCGTCTTTGATAATTCACACTATGTGATCGTCACTCATGAGAACAGATCTGCCTCAGATTTCGGGCTTTTGTTGGCCATCTCCAGAAAACTTGTCTAAAAAAAACCAAGTCTTAAGTTTTCGGAAGCTCTCAAATCTCATTCAGTTTAGGCAGGCAAAACAGAACATAATATTGAGTGCTGCACTAGAGGCAAAGATTTTCAGTGAATCATTTCTGTTCCTCACATAAAGCCATCACATGCATTCAGAAGAAAGAGAAGAGATACATTTACATTGTTTGTAGAAGCTTAACAGCTGTGGTATCTAAGTATGAACAGTCGTTGAATGTAAAAGAGCGACATAAATATTCCTCCAAAATTGTCATTTTGTGTTAGACAGAAGAAAGTCTAATCAACATGAGGGTGTGAAAATTATGAAATTTCATTTCTGGGTGCATTATGCTTGGTATTGTAATAAGTACACAAATCTAACAAATAAACAAATACACAGCGACACACTACCTCTCCCTGGGGTCCAGGATGCAGCAGGACAGACAGAACAAAAACACAACATAATAATTCAGCATAATCTAAATTATTTAAAAACAAGCAGCTTCAGACAGAGCATCACTGTTGCTACAAAATTGATTAAATTCAACGTAAAAGCCACTTAATTTCCTGTAACATTGTGGATCTGTCAGTCTATTATCATATACATGTTATAAATCTCTCATTCCAAAACAAAAATGAGGCAAAAGAAAGGTTAAAGATAATTTATGCTGACAACTCACGGAGCTGCTCACAGACTTACCTGCCATCGTCGCGTCCGACTCCCCACACGCGAATGCTGATGATCGGCTGAGAGTGCAGCAGCGTTCGACCGTGAGGCTCGATCAGGTTCAGAGTCTCATTCTCCAGCACCAGAAGCATTTCCTTCCCCTACACAGCAACACACACAAAGGCATACTAAGTGGTGCGCTTTTCGCCTCTCCTTAAAAGCCTAAACGTAACATCAAAATCAGTCAAATCATGTAACATGACTGCCATAAAATGCGATCTACTGTGGGACATGCTTTATTTTAAAGGGAGTTATTAAAAGTGCATTAACTGCGAAAGATACTGTTATAGACTTGCTTGTAATAAATAATCTTATCTTTTGGATTGTCTCCATCAAATATGAAGTAAATAAGAAAAATAAGGTAAATAAAAAATAAAGAAAATAAGATGAAACGCCTTTTATTTGTAAAGGATTAAATTCACGGGATTATCCACAAATAGACATTACATATGGCTATGTAATACATAAATCATTTGAATTTCCAGCAAAAATAACTATAATAACAGTAATACCCCATCCAGGTTATATGCAGATTTTTTTAAAGGGGTCATATGATGCGATTTAAATTTTTCCTTTCTCTTTGGAGTGTTACAAGCTCTTGGTGCATAAAGAAGATCTGTAAAGTTGCAAAGATTAAAGTATCAAATCCAAAGAGATATTCTTTATAAAAGTTTCACCTCCGCTCACTCTAGCCCCCGGCCTCCGCTCACTCTAGGCCGCCATTTTTTATATTTAAAGCGAGTTTTTTGGTCAGTGTAGAGTAGGGCTTGTTGTTTGTCATTTCTCCGATCACAAATGCAGACATGGTTTTATGTTTACGCGGCGCGATGCAACGCAATGCGTAAAAAGACAGTATAAGTCATTATAATCCATAATTATGTCCCCACTGGATGCAACGAATGCCTCGTTTATAATGAGTTTTCATGTTCATCCATATGTTTCGAAATTGGTTTATGTACCAATATACTAATAAGTGGCAGATATTGGATTTTCCTGATATGATAAAAATGCATTTAAAGGAGGGCAATAAACAGACTATGCTAATACTAGTGAAATCTATATACTGAAAGCATTAACGGTTGAATTTGCCTGGTTGCTCTTGTATGCTACAAAGTTTATTGTGTAACCAACATGCCAACAATACCCAGAAAAGTAGATTTTATTCATAATGCAGGACTTAATTATAAAGCTGAAATATGTGAGAAAGTGCAACAGTACAATAGTGCAATATTCCATTAAATAAATTAAGAACAGTCAATTTTGATTTCATGGTGACTTTACACATCTAGCCAGAGCTGTCAAAAGCTTGGGGGGAGTTTGGGAGTGTGAGCATGAGGCACGCTTCGCACTGCCCTCACAATGGTTCTGTGTGCAGCGCTCACATTTATTCAATTAGAGCACTGTTTCTCGAAATTTTGAAATCACATTAAGGCCATTTTGTGATTCTTGTTTTTCCATCCCCAAATTTAAGACCTCTTAAAATTATATTTAAGACTTGTGTTAAGGTTCATGTTCACACCAAGAACAATATTTGCGTCCACACCAGTGAACAATAACTGTTCTTACACCCCCAGCTCTTAATGCATCATGTTGCCTTCTTGAGCATCAGTGAATGTGAAAGGGGACAAACATGCAGAAGATGCTGGAAAACCAAAGAATGAGCAGGACCTGGAGGATTTTTCTGAAGAACAGCATTAGGTAGTCCTACATTGCTGTTTATTTTGCTAAAGATAATTTTAAAAGTTAATTTTATTTATCTTAACTTTTAGAAAATAAAGCAACGTTAATTCTGTTTTTAATTGTGTTCTTAAATTGTTTTTTTTTTTTTTGTGAAAACAAGTACTAGACTGATAAGCAGTATCATACAAGCAGCAATGCAATTAAAACCTTAACGATACCCATCCCTAACCATAACGCTGCCAATGAAGCTATAGCTCGGACATTTTAAGACCTTTCAGGGACCAGCGGGGACCCGGCTACCATACACAGTCAATGTGACTTTCTTTCATTCAAATTCTAGTGATTTGCATACATATGCACAAACCTCGCCCCAGATGCCAGCGGTGTCATCTAGATTGTGTTTCTGGTAGGACAGCTGTCGGATACAGTTATTAACGGCAACACTACTCCTTCCAGGAGCCATCTCCTCTTCTGATATCTCCACCCAGCCCAGAGAGTGCACTGCAAAACACTGCATAACACACACAAGCAAACATTGAGAAAACAAGCATCTTGATGTAGTGTATGTGGTCAGTCACCTGTGTGCTTACCTTTGCCCCCTCATTGCTGCTGAAATAAGTCTGTTCCTCTTCCTCCTCAGACTGAGAAAAACTGCACACAACAGGAAGATGACACAGAGAGAAGGATCAATGCTCCTTTTGCTCAAACAGCAGAGCCTGGCACGAACAAGGCCAAGATCATGGCCTCAATTACTAAGAACTTAAGTTGAACGTAAGTGGCTTTAGATAAAAAGCGTCTGCCCAATTCATAAATGCGATAATATGTAAATGTACATGTGGCATAATACTGTGTAACGCTCCGCTTCAGGAGTCTGTGTTGTTTAACTGATATTATACCTGAGATTGATGGAGGCATAACGTAGAGTCGCTCCCTCAAACTCCTTCAGACTTTCATCAGAAGCCTCATCCTCCTTCTAAACAATAAATAAGCATTACATGGACTTACAAAAACAGAATGTCTGTGACTCCATTACGACCCTACCTGCCAATGCTCTTCCTCACTGAATGTGTTTGGATGAGAAACACCGCTCCATGTAAGCTAAATACAAATGGGTTCATGTTTAAAGACATCAGCACTCGCATGGTTACAATGACACTAATGTTGGGCAACTTGAGAGCTATAATGTCATATTGGCTCGGTGAAACCGACTCATAAGAGAACATACTGACATATTGCGTTCCCTTCAATGTATTCTTTACATTTTCTTTACCTGGTCTCGAAAAGAGTCTTAAATTTACCTACATAAAAACGGCAAAAATCCTGTTTTTAAAGTCCGTGTAAAGAGAATTCTGATGAATGTTAGAAATGTATTGCAGAAACACATTACAAAGACTCTGAAGTATGTAGTACTGAATTGTGGAGTTAAACAGTTTTTCACCAATTCTGTGTTCAGGATTTTTTGGGCGGGGCTAAAACGGTGGCTCTATGACCATGGCCCCTGCCCTAACACTAAAAGACGTGTGTTTGACTTGAAGCAGCACTGCGCTGATCGATCCGTGTGTGACAAAGTACAGAGAGCAGACGGCTCCTCATGCTTTCGACTCACTCTGGTGTCATACACTGATCGTTCTGCACAGCCCTGCTTCAAGTTGAGCACACCTAATAACTACAGCGCAGCGGTTTGCCCGCTCAATCGCAAGTTACTGCCGTTCGTTACTACAGCCTAGAGGTTGCTAGCTAGGGATTTTTTGGGCGGGGCTAAAACGGTGGCTCTATGACCATGGCCCCTGCCCTAACACTAAAAGACGTGTGTTTGACTTGAAGCAGCACTGCGCTGATCGATCTGTGTGTGACATCAAAGTACAGAGAGCAGACGGCTCCTCATGCTTTCGACTCACTCTGGTGTCATACACTGATCGTTCTGCACAGCCCTGCTTCAAGTCGAGCACACCTAATAACTACAGCGCAGCGGTTTGCCCGCTCAATCGCAAGTTACTGCCGTTCGTTACTACAGCCTAGAGGTTGCTAGCTAGCTATGCCTTCGTCACGTAAATGCATAATACCTGGTTGCCAAAGGCGCCCCTAAGGGGGGAAAAGTTAGGAGGATTCTAAGGGCCCACGCACTTTTGGGGCCCCCAGAGATCTGTTTAAATAGTAGTAACAACAGTAGTAGTAGTAATGTAATAGAAATTATAAATGTATCTACCAAAGAGTTACAAATAAAACAAAATTACGGCTTATTTCTGCATTTCTGGCAAAATTATCTCCCCCATTCACTGCATGGTTTCGTCCTGTCCCATGCAGCCTAGAGTCACTGAGTGAAATCAGATCGCACTTTTAAACACATTTTAGTTTTGCTATAGAAAATCTACAAATTCTCACTCTGATTACACAGAGCAGCAGCGTGAGGTTGTCATGGCAGCCAGATACACTGCACGCGAATTACAGCTGCGCTTCTATTTTGCCACACTAAACTTCTCAAATGATCTCAAAGGAGGCTTTTATTAAGCAAATGAAGGAGTGAATTACTCATCCACTGTTTAAAAAATACTTGTTTTTTACAGCCTATAGTTTCCACAGGCAGTGTCACAATTATCTACAGTGTATGATTAATATAACTGATTAAGTAGTCAAACTCATTCCATATCAGCAGAATAGTGTGGTACAGAAAGTCTATGTCCATAAAGCAGGTTCTGAATGAATTATGCTACTGATACCTGGTCAAAAGCAATAGCAAAACTAATAGGTCAATATTATTAAATTGCAGACAAAGATTTTGAATAGCTAGGCTGGCTTTTTCACTAAATTGTCCCACAGCCCCAGCTGAGCATCAGACAGTGCCTTGCCAAAACACAAAATGAGTGAGAATTTTTCAGTTTCTTTTCAATGCTGTATTCTTCCACAGGGGCGCTGCTAGCAATTTTGGGCCCTATGAAAGAATATGAGGTTGGGCCCCCTACCGCACCAAACATTCACTATATTGCCCAAAGTATTGGAACCCCCCCCCCCCTTCTAATTAACAGGTTTGACTACTTTAGTAATTTCCACGAGAACAAATCTTAATGTTTATGCATATAATGATACTCTAGGGAATTGTGTGCTTCTAATTTTATACCAATAGTTTGGACAGGACCCTTTTCTATTCTAACACGACAATGCCTCTGTGTATAAGGCAAAGTAAAAAAAAATAAAAAAAGATTAATTCAGTCAGTGTGGAAGAATTTATGAAATGCCTGCTGACAGCGCGGTTTATCTATGCAGTTACACAGAACTATACTCAAACTGCAATCGCTCACGGAGATAATAAATAATTCATTTCCATAGAATTTTATTTATTTAGATGTTTATTAGCGAAATAATGGTTATATAGTAAATGTTAAAGGAGAGCAGACTGGGCTTGTCGAAAGGAGGGACTTTGTAGAAAACAAAGTGTTTGAGAGAGGCGGGGCATAGAGGACCTACAATAATGTACAGTATTTGAAAAATAATGTGTTTTTTGAACATTAAAGCATGTCAACATATTCTGTTACACCAAATACACAAAATAATGATCTTTATAAAAAGCATCATATGACCCCTTTAATACAATTTAGGGTGTTTTAAACAAGTGAATCTTGTTAAAAGTTACATGCGGTGGCCGTGCTGGAGCATTTCCTGAGCATCAACCACATCAACCAGGTGAGTGAACAGCATTATAAAAGCGGCTTCGCAAGACTTGCGCTTTTATTTCCAACATGTGCTCATTCATGGCTGTATTATTTAAATGCAAAGTTACGTCTTTATTGGGACAGGACTTGACGGATTATCTTACATGACTCCGTGAGTTGGTCTCTATTTCTTAGAGCCAAGCTGCATAAACTACCTATCAGGCATTTATGTAATGCATATAATTTGTGCATAAATGGCTGTTATGTTAAATAAAGTTTACTAACTACAGCAAATCAAGTACCTGCACGCTGTTGTTGTCTCGTCTCCCCTCAGACGCGCTGCAAAGGCGATCCTGCGCGCAATTTTCAAAACACCCACAAGATGGCGGCGCTTATCGGTGAATCCGATATCACAAAACCGATATCTGATTATGGTAAAATGTTTAAATATCGGGGAAAATATCGGTAAATCAATATATCGGTCGATTTCTAGTTAATAACACATTTTTCTGTGGTGTGATAAACTCAGAACACACATTTAATATTGACTTTACACGGACTTTAACAGACCACTCTTGCCATTTTTTTTCTGTGATCATCTGTCATGTTGCATGACTCACCTGGCTCTCCATCTGGGGTGCTGCTTGCAGTGCTTCCCTGTGACAGCGACATGCAGCTGGAGTCCTCATCACTGGGAATGCCGTGCTTACTGAACAGCAAACAAGCATTTCTGCTACCACCTTCACCTCCTATCTTCTGAATCTCAGATGAACTGGTGTTCTCGCCTCTAGTGGGATTTACATTTTCCTCTTCCTCTTCTCTTGTCTCCTCTTGGTTTTCTTGATTCTTCTCCATCAGAGTGTAAATCAGAAGAGGTTCATCAGCTGCCCAACTGTGGTCAGAGCAGAGCGCTTTCAGGGTCTTGTTCTTCTCTTCATGGCGCTGCTGTGAGTTCTGGTTTGGGTTTCTGTCAGTGGTTTCATTCTTGTTTTCAACCAGGTTAAGATTCTGGTCTTGCTGCTGCTGCTGCTCTGCTAACTTGCATATTTGATTCTGATCTTCCTTCATCCACTTGGCGTTGCTCTCGGAGCCTGGAAGACTGTGCTCATTCTCCTGATTTCTGCTCCATTCATCTTCCTGGTGCCGGAGGGATATATCATCATCATCTAGTCCTCCCATAATGCCTTTGAGGGGCTGAATGGAGCTTGTGCTGCCGTAATTATGTTGACTCTTTAGAGAGAAAGAATTTGACCCACGAGTATCTGTCAGGCCCAAATTTCTTTCATGTGATAAGCAGAGGTCAAGGGTCAGTGAAGGTGGGATGTAGGTGTTTTCATTGAGCAGGTCTGATGGGCTCTTCACAGACATAACACAGAGCTGTAACATACATACACCTTTAGAAGTCACACCTTCACTGTAACTGGCATTAAAAACATGAACATTTCACACACAAACACACAAACTCACTGTGATAAACATGATAATCCTGGCCATTAAAATTGGGGTTAATCATTTTACATTTCAATATTATTATTCACATCTAAGGAAGCACCAGTCCGATACCTGGATCAGCACTGGCACCGATACAGACCTTTTTTGCAGGATCAGTTTTCGGTTAATGGAACCAGAAAAAGCCAAACAAGTATGACAAAGGCACCATAAAACTTCTCGTGCACTATGTTCCAAGTCTTCCGAAGCTGTTCGATAGCTTTATATGAGAAACAGATGAATATTTCAAGGTCATAAATTTTATGCAGGGCTGGATGATAAATAACATCATATTGAGATCGCGATACAATTTATGGCGATAACGATAAGCTCTGGAAAGTTATATTCGATATGTATTAATTTAACAGCCTATCACAAAGCAAATTCAAACACAACAGCCAGTCAGTACATGTCACTAATAAGTCTGCATGTTCTGCGTGGTTCTGTGTGAATGAGTGGCGTAGTTTCTTTTATTACACAAACTCAAACACGTGTGACACCTGCTGTGTTGTCAGCGTCTGCATGTCACTATATGTGACCCTGGACCACAAAACCAGTCATAAGGGTCAATTTTTTTAAATTGAGATTTATACTGAATAGCAAAATGTTTCAGTACAAGCATTTCAACAAAATGTAATTCATGCAATATTTCAAACCTTTAACCCACTGGGGAAAATCAGCCCATGGCAACAGTTTAAAAGCAGCCCAATTTCGTAGAAAAAAACAACAATCCAACATGAGCTGCAGAAGTCAGATTTGACTGATCAAGGGTCAAAAGTAAGGCGCGATAACTGATAAAGATGTTAGAGGATTTGCTCCTCAACAGATCCCGAGCTCACTGACAAATATCTTTTATCGTAGGAAGTGCTCCCTTCACACAGTGTGCGCGCGATCGCGAAAGCGAAATCTAAAGTAAACTGCGAGCGCTCATTCACATATTGATAGCGGCGCCCTGATGCGCGAAAATGATATACAATACTAGAATGTTTGCGGGAGTGGATGGGAGCATGCGGTAATGGTCAGAAGTTCAGCGAGAGGGGGATCAACAAGCCCCACGCTATCACGCAGCGGCGCAGTCAGGCAGTGAGCGCAGTAACAGATGAAGTCAAATCTTGCGGGATTCCATAAATAAACGACACAAAACCCCAATATTCGGACAAAGGCTTGTGTACTGCAAACACATACCAGCTTCATCACTGTGTCTGTCACGCAACTCTGTTCCCCTTTCTGGTTCTGTCTTTACATTTATTTTGAAAGATGAAGCTGGCGATTATGGTAAGGGGCCTTACATTTTCCGACGAGTGCTTGCGGTGTTCGGCCAATCACAGTGCACTGGGTCAGCTGGCCAATCAGAGCAGACTGGGCTTGTCGAAAGGAGGGACTTTGTAGAAAACAAAGTGTTTGAGAGAGGCGGGGCATAGAGGACCTACAATAATGTACAGTATTTGAAAAATAATGTGTTTTTTGAACATTAAAGCATGTCAACATATTCTGTTACACCAAATACACAAAATAATGATCTTTATAAAAAGCATCATATGACCCCTTTAATACAATTTAGGGTGTTTTAAACAAGTGAATCTTGTTAAAAGTTACATGCGGTGGCCGTGCTGGAGCATTTCCTGAGCATCAACCACATCAACCAGGTGAGTGAACAGCATTATAAAAGCGGCTTCGCAAGACTTGCGCTTTTATTTCCAACATGTGCTCATTCATGGCTGTATTATTTAAATGCAAAGTTACGTCTTTATTGGGACAGGACTTGACGGATTATCTTACATGACTCCGTGAGTTGGTCTCTATTTCTTAGAGCCAAGCTGCATAAACTACCTATCAGGCATTTATGTAATGCATATAATTTGTGCATAAATGGCTGTTATGTTAAATAAAGTTTACTAACTACAGCAAATCAAGTACCTGCACGCTGTTGTTGTCTCGTCTCCCCTCAGACGCGCTGCAAAGGCGATCCTGCGCGCAATTTTCAAAACACCCACAAGATGGCGGCGCTTATCGGTGAATCCGATATCACAAAACCGATATCTGATTATGGTAAAATGTTTAAATATCGGGGAAAATATCGGTAAATCAATATATCGGTCGATTTCTAGTTAATAACACATTTTTCTGTGGTGTGATAAACTCAGAACACACATTTAATATTGACTTTACACGGACTTTAACAGACCACTCTTGCCATTTTTTTTCTGTGATCATCTGTCATGTTGCATGACTCACCTGGCTCTCCATCTGGGGTGCTGCTTGCAGTGCTTCCCTGTGACAGCGACATGCAGCTGGAGTCCTCATCACTGGGAATGCCGTGCTTACTGAACAGCAAACAAGCATTTCTGCTACCACCTTCACCTCCTATCTTCTGAATCTCAGATGAACTGGTGTTCTCGCCTCTAGTGGGATTTACATTTTCCTCTTCCTCTTCTCTTGTCTCCTCTTGGTTTTCTTGATTCTTCTCCATCAGAGTGTAAATCAGAAGAGGTTCATCAGCTGCCCAACTGTGGTCAGAGCAGAGCGCTTTCAGGGTCTTGTTCTTCTCTTCATGGCGCTGCTGTGAGTTCTGGTTTGGGTTTCTGTCAGTGGTTTCATTCTTGTTTTCAACCAGGTTAAGATTCTGGTCTTGCTGCTGCTGCTGCTCTGCTAACTTGCATATTTGATTCTGATCTTCCTTCATCCACTTGGCGTTGCTCTCGGAGCCTGGAAGACTGTGCTCATTCTCCTGATTTCTGCTCCATTCATCTTCCTGGTGCCGGAGGGATATATCATCATCATCTAGTCCTCCCATAATGCCTTTGAGGGGCTGAATGGAGCTTGTGCTGCCGTAATTATGTTGACTCTTTAGAGAGAAAGAATTTGACCCACGAGTATCTGTCAGGCCCAAATTTCTTTCATGTGATAAGCAGAGGTCAAGGGTCAGTGAAGGTGGGATGTAGGTGTTTTCATTGAGCAGGTCTGATGGGCTCTTCACAGACATAACACAGAGCTGTAACATACATACACCTTTAGAAGTCACACCTTCACTGTAACTGGCATTAAAAACATGAACATTTCACACACAAACACACAAACTCACTGTGATAAACATGATAATCCTGGCCATTAAAATTGGGGTTAATCATTTTACATTTCAATATTATTATTCACATCTAAGGAAGCACCAGTCCGATACCTGGATCAGCACTGGCACCGATACAGACCTTTTTTGCAGGATCAGTTTTCGGTTAATGGAACCAGAAAAAGCCAAACAAGTATGACAAAGGCACCATAAAACTTCTCGTGCACTATGTTCCAAGTCTTCCGAAGCTGTTCGATAGCTTTATATGAGAAACAGATGAATATTTCAAGGTCATAAATTTTATGCAGGGCTGGATGATAAATAACATCATATTGAGATCGCGATACAATTTATGGCGATAACGATAAGCTCTGGAAAGTTATATTCGATATGTATTAATTTAACAGCCTATCACAAAGCAAATTCAAACACAACAGCCAGTCAGCACATGTCACTAATAAGTCTGCATGTTCTGCGTGGTTCTGTGTGAATGAGTGGCGTAGTTTCTTTTATTACACAAACTCAAACACGTGTGACACCTGCTGTGTTGTCAGCGTCTGCATGTCACTATATGTGACCCTGGACCACAAAACCAGTCATAAGGGTCAATTTTTTTAAATTGAGATTTATACTGAATAGCAAAATGTTTCAGTACAAGCATTTCAACAAAATGTAATTCATGCAATATTTCAAACCTTTAACCCACTGGGGAAAATCAGCCCATGGCAACAGTTTAAAAGCAGCCCAATTTCGTAGAAAAAAACAACAATCCAACATGAGCTGCAGAAGTCAGATTTGACTGATCAAGGGTCAAAAGTAAGGCGCGATAACTGATAAAGATGTTAGAGGATTTGCTCCTCAACAGATCCCGAGCTCACTGACAAATATCTTTTATCGTAGGAAGTGCTCCCTTCACACAGTGTGCGCGCGATCGCGAAAGCGAAATCTAAAGTAAACTGCGAGCGCTCATTCACATATTGATAGCGGCGCCCTGATGCGCGAAAATGATATACAATACTAGAATGTTTGCGGGAGTGGATGGGAGCATGCGGTAATGGTCAGAAGTTCAGCGAGAGGGGGATCAACAAGCCCCACGCTATCACGCAGCGGCGCAGTCAGGCAGTGAGCGCAGTAACAGATGAAGTCAAATCTTGCGGGATTCCATAAATAAACGACACAAAACCCCAATATTCGGACAAATATACATAATGAAAAGATGATACAAAATTTTGTAAAATGGCATTTAAGACTTTTTAATACTTATTAAGGGCATTAATTTGAACTGATAAAGATGTTAGAGGATTTGCTCCTCAACAGATCCCGAGCTCACTGACAAATATCTTTTATCGTAGGAAGTGCTCCCTTCACACAGTGTGCGCGCGATCGCGAAAGCGAAATCTAAAGTAAACTGCGAGCGCTCATTCACATATTGATAGCGGCGCCCTGATGCGCGAAAATGATATACAATACTAGAATGTTTGCGGGAGTGGATGGGAGCATGCGGTAATGGTCAGAAGTTCAGCGAGAGGGGGATCAACAAGCCCCACGCTATCATGCAGCGGCGCAGTCAGGCAGTGAGCGCAGTAACAGATGAAGTCAAATCTTGCGGGATTCCATAAATAAACGACACAAAACCCCAATATTCAGACAAATATACATAATGAAAAGATGATACAAAATTTTGTAAAATGGCATTTAAGACTTTTTAATACTTATTAAGGGCATTAATTTTATCTAAATTGATTTATCAACTTTTAATATTTTTTAAGACCCCGCGGACACCCTGATTTAGTCGCCCAGTGAAGATTTAGTCACATATGCGAGTGATTTACTCGCAATGTAGAGGGATGCGCATGCTGTCGAGAGAGGGGCTTTCAGTGCGCACGCTTCGGCTGTGTCAGTCAGCGCGAGCACAGCATTGAGTTCTTTTTCATTGCTTATTGCACTTAATAACTTTATTAAACATAATGCACATCCCAAGTTTGCGATTGCGATATACCGTCATACCGCCCAGCCCTATGTTCATATATTTGAGAAATTATTGTAACGTATGCAGGATTTTTCTTCTTTCCTCATTTGATTGGGCGGGCCAGTCGTCAATCTGAGTGGGCCATTGCCACCCTGGCCCTTATGTGGCCTCGCCACTGATGTAACTGAACAGTGTTAGCTACTTTGAAGAATTGCACAGTAGCCAGTAAAGAGCTGTTCAAAGCAGAAACCTTAATGATTTACAATGCCGTAGTCCTCTTAGAATTTTAGGTTTTATGTTTTCATTCATCAAGGCATATTTTAGGTACATTTTACATTATATTTGTGTAACTATAGCATTTGTTTAAAGGGGTCATATGATGTTGCTAAAAAGAACATTATTTTGTGTATTTGGTGTAAGGAAATGTGTTTATGCGGTTTAAAGTAAAAAAAACCCACATTATTTTCCACATACTGTACATTATTGTTTCTCCTCTATGCCCCGCCTTTCTGAAACACGTCGATTTTTACAAAGCTCATCGGTCTGAAAAGCGAGGTGTGCTCTGATTGGCCAGCTATCCAGTGCGTTGTGATTGGC